TCGGCACGTCCCTCCACCGCCGTGTCCCCCTCAGCAGCCTCTCCTGGTGGCGGTGGACCCTGGGCACCCCGGCTTCTCCATGGGCCTGGCTCCTCGTGCCGCGCCTCGGAGACCTTGTGTCAGAGGGTCTGGCAGCCATTTGGTGTCTCCTGGGGCAGGTTTCCCCGTAGAGCAAGATTTATCACAGGGCTCCCAAGGCCCGTGGTCCTCAGGCCATGGTTTTGGCGGAGAGGCATCATACGGCATTCTTTTTTTTGCTTGTGAAACTCGTGGAAACACCACGTCCTTGAGAGCTCTCCCTCCCTGCCAGATCTCTCTGATACATGGGTTTGAATGTTACGAGGGAAGGAGACAGATATGCACAGAATGAGGTTGTGAAAACCTCACATTTCTGTAGAAAATCGAGCTAGTCACATATTTTTGCATTCTTTTCTTCCTTAGCATTTAGCATCTACCTGAGTCACAGCTTCACATTTTGCAACTTCTGGGGTTTTTTTTCTTCTATTTCTGGTTAGTTTGCTTGCTTGTTTTTGCAGTCACCGAGACTTTTCTTTTGAATTATCTCACATCTCCAGAAGCTGGAATTTTAAGATAAAGATCACGAAGTAATGACAGTCAGCAACACCATGCTAATGAAAAACAACGGGTACGTCTCTGAGGGTAACCGGTACTTCGAGATGTTTTGTCCATGAGGAGCTCGCTTAGGGTGCATGTCTGGCATGCCAGAGATGCAAGCACGGGAGAAGTGAGACTCTCCCAGACCAAGGCTGGGAGAAGAAGTGCATGATAATGTGTTTAACTGTCCGTCCTTGAGCCTGGATGATTTCACTTCTGGAATGCCCGCCTGGCTGTGGTGCAGGGAAGGGGGCTGCTGTAATCCCCAAAGGTTTGGTCCTGTTCGGGTGACTGCCTGTACCCGAGAGTGCCCAGCAGGAGAAGGGCATTCGGTGAATGCCAGCTGGCTCCTGGGAGCATCTCTGTATACATGGAAGAATTTTGCATTTGTGGTATCTGGGCGGATGGATTTTTGTCCCCTGATTACAGCAAACTACGTGCGTATAGAAAAATCTCCTGCCAGACTCCCTCCAGTTATCAGGTAAGATCATTTCAGAGCAGTAGTCCAAGTGAGCTCAATCTCAGTCACCTGGTGAGGAATGGCCACACCTGGATTCCCTGATTTCTGGTCTTCCATTCTTTTTCTGTGCTAGTCTGTCTGTCCGAGCCCAGGGGCTCTCTGGCCCCAGCTCTAGAGCTGTTGCTGAAGAGCAAACTCCTATGAGATGTTTCCTTCAAGAGGCTTTGCCACTCTCTGGGCTCATGATGCCAAGCTAGCCGCTGCCCACAGCGGTGGGTCCAGACTGGCAGCTGTCTGCATCATCCCCTCTGTCCTTTCTCCCCACAGATCTGGGGAGCAGCTATTCCATGACCCCCCCTACTCTTAGCATCACTGAGGAGGAACACGTCATCAACGCCAAGGATACGCTGACCATCACCTGCAGGTAAGGCGCATGGCTCTGCCTAGACTGCTCTTACCTGGTAAGTGTTGGAGGACCAGCCAAGGACAGCCCACCAGGGAGATCTTGGCTGCAGCATGCCTGCAAATTAGCACGGCTGACTAGAAATCTGCCACATTCACCAAATGTGAATTCATCTAATTGAATCTAATTAATTGAAAAAGAAGCTGAAGACATCTCAGAGGAGATGGAGATAACCTCTGCCATAGTCTTGCAGGCAGAAGGAAGATAGAGAAACATTTGCATGATCTGATAGCTTCCTTGTAAGCTCTTTAGGGAAGCTGGCCTTCCTAACTTCTTGTCTTTCTCTGACGTTGCTTATTCTCACCTCATCAGGGGCTGCTAGGGTTGTAGTTCTGGTTTCTAAATCTGGCAAGTCATTTTGGGGCATGTTGAGAAACATCCATGGGAGAAGGCAAGGCTGCACTTAGTGGTGGCTGTGAAAGGCTTCCAGCTTCTCTAGGAAGCTGGGATTTAACGCTCTGTCTTGTACCCATGGGGGTGAAGAGAAGCCCCGGCCAAGCCAGGTGAATAATTCTGTGAGGAACTGGAGAATCTCTGGTTGTTTTGGAGACTGGATCTGAGAAGGTGATGTGCCTGAACTGATTTGTCCCATGCTGGGACACTTGGCTGTACATGTTCTCAGCACTACCCGCTGTCTTGGAAAAAAAGAAAAAAAAAAAAACAAGTGGGAGAATTGACCAAGGTCAATTTTCCTGACAAAGCTGGAGTTTCCTTTCAGCAGCTGAAAGCAGATCCATGCTTGGGATCTGAATGCTAGGGCCCAATGGGGGTATAAATTCAGCGTGGGCCTCAAATGGGTGTTTCTCAGTGTTATATATAACTGTGGAGCAATTACTGCAAACACTTGGCTGGCATCGTGTTCATGTCTTGTCACAAACATATTTAACTTTTCTGGGAACAGATGGCATTGCTTTTACTTTGTGAATGAGTTCATAGCCAGGGGAGAGGGACAGAGGAAAGGTTGTTGATGGCCATACGAACTGATTTCACTTGGTCTGGGAAGCTGAGCGGTTGTGGGCTTGTTCATATGGTGACCTGAGGAGCCATGGTGTGTACTAGATTGTAGGAAATACGTGAGTGGGAGGACTGTGGCCAGCCATATAGCTGCTGTGTGGAGCACAGAGGAAGAGGGAGGAGTCTGGGGACTCCAGTGCTCTCCCATGGCAGTTCTCTCCGCAGAGGGACGCGGGAGCTGACACTCTTTGTTGAAACCTTGGAAGAGGAGAGATTCAGTGAGATTATTCCAAATGAGCTTATAATCAGGCCAGACCCTTTCTCAGCAGTGGCCCAAGGAGACACAGAAAGTGGTTTCAAGAGCATGGGAGAGGTGTGCACTGCCGTGTCCACAGTGAGCCCTGCGCAGGCACCCCGAGGACTCTGCACTGGGCAGCGCTGCAGCTGTAGCCTGGCTCTGCGGGGCTGTTCCATGCTGCCACTTCCCCGGGCAATTGCCATGGAGCAGCGTGCCTGAGAGTGCTACACATGATGGAACAGACCTGTGTTCTTGCAGCAGCTTAAGCCGGGGGATCTCATGGGTAATTGGGATGTGCAGAGGCAGCCCTGTATTGCTTGCAGATTGAGCCAAGGCTAAAGGACATACTGAAGTTAGAGGTGTGGCTAAAGAGTCTTCTGCAGTCAAGCATGAACATACCTGTTTAGCACCATGAAGTGGAAAGCCTTTCTTTTCGGGTAACCCTCCTGGAGTGGGAAGGACAAGATTGCCCTTTCTTTGTGCACTTGTTAGGTATCGATTAGTATGAAGGAAAATCACATGAAGTGGAAAAAAATAATCTCATTTCCAGTGCAGACTCTGCGTGGCCTGCCCTTGCAGGGAGCATCGTACAAGCTACAGTCTCTCCAAGTGGCAGCAAGCTCCCTGTTTCCTGCTGCAGCGCCAAGGCTCATCTTTCAGGCTCACTAGGCAGTATCCATAGAGCGTGCTGGCATGGACACAGCTGAGATAAGGAACATCCCTATCCCTGGCTCCCAGGTGCTGTGCAGGACTGAACTGGCTGGTGGAAGATCAGGAGGACCATCTGCAAACAGTACTAAAACCCATGCGCCCTCTGCCCATGTGCTCCATGGCTGCCCACCGCCTCTGCATCCTGCTATCCTAGATGTGCTCCTCTGGGATTGTGCAGTGTCCTTCACACCATCCGCAAGTAGACAAGTCTCAGCATCTCCTGCATGGCTCAGAGGTTCCCATTCTCCCTCTGAGCTCTCAAACCTGTGTTTGTCTAATGTCTTGAGGAGAGGATTTTGACTGTGGGACACTATTACTTCATTTGAATGAAAAGTAAATCTTTCTTGGTCCCTGGATCTCTAATTACACCCAGCTGCTTCTCCAACCTCTTCTCTGGACCATGGCCCACCCTGGGAAGACCTGGCTTGTGTTAATGGGAGCTGAAGGGAAAAACATGCAGACCACCAAGAGAAAGAGGCAAAGGAGAGGGTGGTGGGGCAGGGTAGGGCAGAAACAAATACAAAATCAAATCCAGGATCCAGGGATTCCCTGCTGAGCATTGTGTTGGAGGTGGCTTCAGTTTGACCCCGGTCTTCCCTTGAGAACAATGTCCTCTGGCTGCTCTCTGAGCTGCCCTGGAGCCAGGAGTACGGGCCTGCTTGAAGCAGTGCTGTAGCAGAAAGCTGAGCTCAAAACCCACCGCGTGAGACTCCCTAGAGACATTTCAAGCTTCACCCACTGAGCGTGAGAGTCCCGCAGCCGGCTGCACTCTCAGGCTGCCTTGCAGCAGCCTGGATCTCACACACCCGCAGCTCCGCAGCCCCCCTCCTGCTCCACAGCCCACCTAGCCTCATCGGTGACCAGAGTCCATGCCAGGCCATGGGATAAGTGATGCCTCTGGAGCTGGGCATGCTTAACAGAGACCGCAAGACACAGCACACCTGCAAGGATCCACCAGATGCTGGGGCTCTGCTTTTGCAAATGGCATCACATACAGGCACGTTCCTCCCATCACCCAGTGCAATGCACCCTTGAGAAGTCCAGACAGAGCAAGGGACCAGTGTAGGAGCATTCCCCAAAATACAGATCGTGCCAGGGCTGGCTGAGAGCCCCAGTAATGTTTTGATCTAAGCACGTGGCAGAGCAGGGCAAAGGGGCTGATGCCCACATGGACAGTGCATCTTTTATTAGCTTCCATCCCGAGAAGGAAGGAAAGAATATTGTGAATCTCTGCATTCATGCTTCATGCCCTCGGCAGCCTGCGTTGGGGGAAAGCAGAGAGCTTGTGCTGTTCCGGCTGATGAATGTTGGAGCAGAGCCCATACGAGCTGGCTGCACAACAGCAGAAACCTCCGGAGGGGTCGACTTGGTCCTGGCAGTGCCAGCCCAGCCCCAGCCATCCTATCCCATCCCATCCTGCAGGTGTTGAGCACTCAGGTGGAGAGGGAACAGCCATGGTGTTTAGAAAAGGAAGGGCAAGGTTGTCCTTTGCTGCCCAGTGACTTGTTAATAGAGCTGACTCGCAGATGCTTGTGGATGCACAAACACTACTCTGGCAGAGAGGAAGTATTTGACCCAGAGCCCTCTTGGCTCCCGTGGAGGAAATGAGCACTGTGACAGGGCTGAAGGAGCCCGAGGACAAGGCAATGCCGCACCATGGCTGCTCCAGAGCAGTGTCCGGGGACACGCAACACCTGCTGCTCTTTCCTACATGTGTGTGACTGCTGTGAACATCCTCTGTGGTGCTGAGGAGGGATTTGTCTTATCCCAGCTAAGCCACAAAGCCACAGCCAGCTTTGCCCATCGTATCACGCTTAGGAGCTTCAAAGAGGATTGGAGAAAAGTGGTGCCAACTGCAACGTCTCCCTTGAAGTGCATCTGTCCTGAAAAGATTTCGGAAAACAGCTGTGGAGAAGCCTACAGTGCATTTGTTTCCAGCTGGCATCAGCAGGCTCCATCGCCCAGAGGCACGTTATCACAGAGCTGAAAGAAAACAACTTGGGAACAGATCTTCGAAGGTGACAGATAGGAGGGAGGGAACCATGCAAAACCGCTGCCCAGACCTTTCCCCAAATGCAGAAGAGGGTAGATTCAGAAATAAACCCAAGTGAGCCTGGCGTGCCCTCATTCTTGCCTTCTTCTGGTCTCTTAACATACCAGCGACACTAACCTGGGCTCACACAATGCCTACACCTTCTGTGTCCCCACTGAATCTGGGCGAGCATCACGTGGTGCAAGGAATGTTTTAGTTTAGAGCTGCCCGCAGACTGGTCAGCGGGTCTGTTTGTACTGGCCCATCCGTGTTTATATAAATACGTGTCACTCAGCTACCGCTAGACTTGATGGTTAATAAAACAAGTGGATCTGATAATGCATGAAAATCCCAGTGGGTAAACAAACAGAAAGCGGAAACGCTGGAGACTTCTACAATTACCCTGCTCCACGTGGAGCGCCAAAAATGCCTGAGCAAATGCAAAGGGCTTTGGGGCTCCTTTGCGCAGTCGGGGTCTGAAGCTCTCGACTCTGGGTTGAGTGGGGCCAGCCTCACGGTCTGTGCCCGGTGCAGCAGAGCAATGGGCATGGCAGAGGCCATTGAGTGTTACTGGTTTGGTGATCCGATTTACTATTATTTTTCCCCATGCATGCATAGGATGGGAAGAACTCAAAATTCAAGAGTCTTATTTTTATTGAAGCATTTGTGAGACTCTGATCCTTTGGAAAAGCCTGCCGTGATTCATGGACACAAGCTGCTGGAGCTGTGCTTCCAGTCCTGCCTCAGGCACTGATGGCATTTTTAGTGAATGCAGAAGTTTGAGCTGGGTCAGAGGGCTGCGTGGCTGTCCCCAGGGGCACGTCACTGCCTCCAGAGCCCTTGTGCTTGGTGACATGGGGAGAGTGCGGCACACTGTCTCCGAACTCATCACGGTGAGCTGGGCAGCGGGAGCTGGAAGAGTGCAAAGTCTGCAGGAAGACAAATCAGCTGCTGAAGACAAACACAAAGGGGCAGGTCTTTCCCCCACGCTTGGACAGAAATCCTGTCCTCATTGCTTCTGAGCCATTGTGCCCTCCAATGGCACCTTATCTCGCTTCCTCCTCGCTGTCCCTTGCTGTCTTTGTCCAGCTATTGGTGACGGTCACGGTCTGGCTGCGCTTAAAAGCATCTGCCCGCAGAGCTGCCCTGGCAGAGGAGCTGCATGTGCCAACATGCCTATTCCCAGCTTGCATAAGAGATGAACCCAGTTTCCCCTAATAGAGCAAACGGTGCTGACAAAAGGCCATTTTTACCCCCACAGCTGTCTCTTGCAATGTCTCCTTTTTTCCCATTTCTTTTTTCTGCACATTCTTAAGTGACTTTCAGCTACACTGGCAAACTTTCAAGTGGATACTAGGCCTTCCTCTGAAAGGGGCTCTGATTTCACAGAAGGAAGCTTCCAGCACGGAATAAAAGCTTGTTGTGTTTGTAGTAAACAAGCGCAGTTATAGCAAGATACAGTGGCGCGTGCAAGTGCGTACATGTGCATACGCAAGCCTCCCACTCTGGAGATCCTCGGCTATATATAAATACACACGTGCACACTCTGTCTGGGGGTTTCTTGCAGTTCCTGGACTTTTCCGTTTGTCTTTGGGCTGCTGGTGAACAGGCTCTGTGGTCGTGCCCTGGAGGGGTGTCTGTAGCTCAGTGTCTCTGCAGAGGTGGGAAGGGGCAGCAGCCCTGGGCTAGCCGGGGGCTCGGGGGGTCAGGGGGGCTGCAGGGTGCTGTGCAGAATAAGGAGCCCCCTCCCATAGCAGCAGGGAAGGAAACAGCTGGCAGCTGGACAGAAGGCGATCAGCTGAGCCTCCCCTTGTTCTCTGCTCGCTGTCTTTTCTACCTGACTCCCTCCTGCTTTTCTCTTTCTAGTTTTCTTTCCAGTTTGCTCTCTTCCCTCATTCTCCTTCCTACTCCATTCATCACACCACAAGCCCCAGCCAGCAGCTGCACTGAGCCAAGGGAACTCAACACATCCGTGTGTTTTCTTAATAGCTCGGAACCCTTTTAATAATGAGAGGGAATAGAGAATAAGTGGAGCCTTTCCCTCAGGGCCATATGTGGCTCCCTGTCCTGGCATCAATACCAGTAGGACAAAGTCATGGGAGGGGGAGACCTGCTTGTGAGTGGGCTGATATCTTACAGCCTAGCATGGCTGGAGAGGGGGCATGGGGAGGGGAACGAGCCTGTGCTTGCCCAGCGATTAGTGAAGCTGCTTGCCATCTCCTCGAGCCTGTTTTTCTCCTTGGAGGACGGCCATTCCTCCATGCCACAGCCTGAGAGCGGTGGCTGGCTGGGCTGGGCCACATGCAGATGTGTGCAGAGCCACACAGGGCAGTTAAATCCCCACCACGTTCATCCTGCTTGGCCCAAAGCTAACTCTCCTCTTTGCCCACGTCTAGAGGCCAGCACCCCTTGGAGTGGTCGTGGCCTGGGGGCAAGGTGGACCCTGCTGAGAAGGAGAAGGAGACCGAGTTCGTGGCCTCAGCAGCCCCCAGCAGCAGCCGGGCAATCCGAGAAGACGACTGCGAGGGGACCGGCACGAAGCCGTACTGCAAAGTCCTCGTGCTGACGGAGACCCAGGCGAACGACACGGGTTACTACCGCTGCTATTACAAGTACATCGATGCCAAAATCGAGGGCACCACAGCAATCAGCGCCTACGTGTTTGTGAGAGGTAAGAGCCATCCAGCGATGTGTGCTTTCAGGCTAGGGGAGCCCAGGGGCAGCCTATGCACCAGCATAATGTCAGAAAGATTAAAAAGCCCGACATGCCCCCCGGCCTCCCAGGGCAGAGCGTGGCTGCTGCAGGCTCAGGGAGGGGGCCAAGGGCTGGCTCCCTGCACTTCAAGGGAACCAATATCCATCCACTTCTGGGGGGGTGGTGGCAGCGCCTGGGATTCAATTACATCCCAGCCCAGGGGCATCGCTCCAGCCGGGCTGGAATGCAGGAATTTAAGGAGTGAGAGCTGGCCTGAGAGATGCTCCACTGCTAAAAAAAGCACAAGAGTTAGCTTCTGGGCAGCTGGGGGCTCTCCGAGATGCTCGCGGCTAGGCACGATAATGTTCCGTAAAGCTGAGACTGAGAGAGGGAGAGGAGGAGTGGTACAAACATGCCATGTGCAGCCTCCTCCTGTCCCCAGGCTGGATGGCCCTGGAGCCGCTCCACCGTGGCAGACCCAGATGCTCCTCTCCACACTGTCTGCGCAGGGGCTGCCTGCACAGGCAGGGTTATAAGACATGTTTTGGAGGAGAAGGGCTGTCCACCAGGCTTGGAGCTAGTACCCCAGCTCAGCAAGTGGCTGCGGGGCCAATACTCCGCTTCTCCATGCCCCAAGGGCTCCTCCTCTGCCTTCTCCCCCACTGCTCGCAGCACACTCCAGCAAGATAAACGAGCGCTGTCCCCTGGAAACAGTTGGCTGAGCATTTCTCTTTCCGCCCCCATTTATTAGTTGGTACAGTTGTCATGAGCCAGGCAGGTCATGACATACAAGATGCATTTTTCAGAAGTCCCAGGGCAAAGCCACATTTGCCTCTGCAACTATGCAGAGAAAAATGCAGGGGCAAATCAGAAAAGCTGGGCAGCTGCTGGAGAGGAACTGGGGTCTATTTGGGCAATTGCCTCCTCTCCCTTGGGCTCTGCTGCCCATCCTAAAACAGGACAGAGCTTCCCTGGATTCCGGATATGTAGGATAGAGATGTTCAGACACTCTAGAGTGTTGTATCGGGATGGAGGCAGAGAGCTGCTTACACATGCTGAAAATAAGTACAGCCTAACAGGCTTACATGCGGGGAGTGCATTTGCAAGAGCCTGATTTTCTATGTAATCCAGCAAATGCCACTTCCTTTGCCTCCTTGTCCACCTTCTCTCACCTCCGGCCTCATGTGCAGCTCAGTAATGGCTCTCCTGTTTACCAGAGAGCAGCAAGTGTGCATGTGCAGTGTAGCTTAGGGGCAATAAACCCCACACTGTCAGGGCCCATGGGACTCGCAGTGCCTGTGGACAGAGTGTGTGCAACAGATCCAGCCAACACGTCGCAGTGTTGCTGTGCACATGGCTACACAGCACATGTTCATACTTATTCCAATCAAACAGTGCCCTGTTATGGCTATCAAACATCCAGGAAACCTCAGAATCCGCCTTTCCAGACACGACAGGCTTTCAGGCAGGAGAGGGGACATGTCAGGAAAACCCAGGCATATGGTAACCGTAGCCATTGCAGAACATCCATGCTGAACTGGGCTGCAATGTGAAACTGTCCCTCGAGAGCTTGGAAGGGCTGATGTAAGTGTTGGGGATGTTTGGAGACAGCATGATCAGACCACAGATTTATCCATCAACCTCATTTCTCATGTTAAGAGCTTGGTGGAATTGCCAGGAACAAAATATCTATGCTTGGCTGGAAGAATGGGTTCTTCTGTATTTTACCTGCAGCTCAGTTCTCAAATGAACTCTCCACGCATTTATCTCATTTCCCGTGTGGCTGGTTAGGTGTGTATTTTATTACAGCTACAGATAATGCTGTAAACATACAGAATGCCTCATCAGGGTGGAATAGGATGTGTACAGCCCCCATCTCATAAGGCTTAGCATATATTAATGAAGAAGATGCTAAATTATTCCCATCTGACCCATTAAGACAGCCTTACAGAAAATATGTGATGTGGTCAGAGAGGGGAGTTAGTGCATGAATCACAAGCTCATTGGCAGCAGGACCAGCCCAGTAAATCAGTTAGTTCTTGGCTACCATCTGAGCTTGGAGGGGACCTCATAGTCTCTTACCTCTGGCAGTTGTGCGCCTCCTCCCTCTCATGTGCCCAGGGCTCGGGAGGGGGATGAGGAACATGTTCACACTCGGAAACAAATCTGTGATTTCAGAAGACAGCAATCCTGTGGCAGCACAAAACCCCAGGAAATAAAGATAAGAATTCTCTGGGCAATCCATATTTTCTTAAGAGCTGACCAACACATTTCCTGTGCATGGCTTGTTTCACCTAAGCTGTAGAAAAAAGCGCTTCACCCTGAGTAGGTTTTTGCAGCATGACTATCACTGAAGCAACAGCTTTATAGATCAAAAATTAAAGGAATTCCCTTATGCACTTAACAGTGGGAGCACTGGGTTGGATTGGGTTGGGCCCAATGTGATTTGAACAGCAGGATCCCCAAATGGGGATCATTACCAAATTCATCTTTGACTTGTCATTTTAGACAGGCAGCTTTAGGGGTTGGGGAGACGAAGGAATTTTAGTCTAAAGTTGGACAAACAGACGTCCTCCTGCTACGGTCCCTTGAAATCAATGGTTTAGCTGCAATCCAGGTGAATAAAGAGTAACTTTTAAGGCCACTGGGATCATTTGGTCTGATTCCAGCATACCAGAAGCCATAAAATCTCCCCTAGCAGGTCCCTGGGGCAGCCCCACGTCTCCCAGATGAGGACCCACCACCTCTTTATGGAGCCCCCTTCACCCAGGGGACAATTTCTATGAACAAAGCCAATCATGACCACGTGCATCTTTGCATAAGAGCTGGTCTCACCAGCTCTTTCCAGTGTATCTGAGAAAAAAACAGAAATGGGGTCTGTGCTGCCCTGTTAGCTTGTCATCTCTTTGGGATCAGGTTGGTCTTTGCACTCTGTGTCTGGATGGTGCCTGGCACGATGGGTCAGGGCCACAACACATCTCCTTTATATGCTGCCATCAACTCCCTTCCACCGTGGAGGCCCGCTTGGGCTTTTCTCGTTTGACACAGGCAACGCACTGAGCAGGATGGGGCAGCCCCTTCTGCAGACACTTTGCTTCTTGGTGCTAGCTCCACGTGGAGTTTAGTGTAACGCCTCTGGCCTTGCTAAGTCGTTTCACTGATTAATTTTGGGTGGTTTTGCTCTTCCTGTCAATATTTGTGCTTGCAGCAGTTGGGAGGCAATGGAGTGGCAGCCCTGGAAAGCTCAGCTCATCTGTTTATCTGCCGGCCAGGATGGCTGCAGGATGACATCTGCATACCATTCCGCTGCGGATCACTTCCTCGCCCTGGAAGGTCGCGCTGCCTGCCGCAGCACCAGGGCGGCACAGCCCCACGCCGTCCCTGCCATGGGGCCATGCAGTCACCAGCTGGGCGCTGAGCCCAGGACGAGACCCATCGGTTTCACAAAGGGTCAAACCCAGGCAGAGACCTTGAGGGGGCCAGGAAAGGGGAGGTCATTTCCAGCACTGCCCAAATATCACACAAGTGCCGCTCCGCCGGTACGGTGTTTGGTGCGGAGGAGCCAGCTGGCCCTGGCACCCGCCTTGGCTGCTCCCTTTGCATTCCTGAGCTCCAGGTGTCTCCTCTGACTGTTGCCCGTTTCAGATGAGGCCATCCAGCTCAATACCACTCCCTCTGGCAAGCTCATGCTGTGTTAAAGAAAGCCAGAAAGCCTCCTTTTCTTCTGGTTTGTCCCTCTTCCCAGTTCTTTTCTTGCCTCTGTTTAGTTGTGCTTCTCCTTATATCTCTTCTTCAGATTTTGAACAGCCATTTATCAACAAGCCGGAGACCCTCCTCATCAGCAAGAAAGAGAACACTTGGGTACCATGCCTCGTGTCCATCCCAGATCTTAACGTCACGCTGGTCTCGGTGAGTGCTCAGCCAGCGGGAGACTCTGGACCAACATGTATTGTATTTGTTCTGCATTTGTAATTGCCTGAGTGGAAGCGGGACAGGCACTGCCAGGAATGGAAAATGCATGGGATACATTTTCCATGGAAAGTACAAGCCACTGGCTTCCTCGTTTTATTTGCTGGTTGAAGCTGTGCTGTCCAGTTCCCTTGGGTAGACCCCACAGGTTTCCTGCCAACCTTGCTTCTCTTCCCTGGAGCTCTATGAAACAAAACAAGACTTTGTTTTAATCCCATTTCCATACAGCATCCCCTCTTTGCTCTGGTCTCTGTGATCTACAAACCCTCTAGGTGGTCAGCATCCCCACAAGGGAGGATGCTGCAGCCCTGAGGCTGATGGCTAAAAACAACTCTGTTATCAGTTTGCTTGTGCCTTTTTTTTTCCCTTTTTTTTTTTTTTTTTACAATGCAAATACATCCTTCCAGGATGAGTGTTACTATTGTACAAAGGCCTCCAGGGACACTCTGGGGGCCAGGGGCCTTTCTCTTGCCCAGGAAGGACACTACCCAAGGTCAGCACTCATCCCGGTGAGGCCGATGTTTGGGACATCAGCATCAGTTTCCTTAGCTATCTCTATAAGTTTCCATTCCTGGAAATCTCTGGCCCACTCTGCAGATGGGGAGGCTCGTGGTGCAGGATACGGCTGCTCGACTGCTCGGGGTATAGGGGAGGCCGCAATTCCTAGATGACAAACCCTCGTGGGGAGAGGGCGGGAGGCCAGCACAGCATGATGCTGCCTCAATTCTTCCCACAAAAGGGATGTGTTAGCCAGTGCAAAGCCTGGAAAGGGTGGGGTGGGGATGTTGTTACCCTCTTATTTCAGTTGGCAAAACGTTGATTTTTCCAGCAAAATTCCCTCATCCACCCTGACGGGAAAAGCACTTTCTGGGACAACAAGAAGGGGGTGCTGGTACCCACACACTTGATCAGGGACTCCTTGTTCGTCCAGTGTGAGACTGTCATTGACAAGAAGGTCTTCAAATCCAATTTCTTCATCATCCATATAGCAGGTGAAGGTTTGGGAAGGTGCAGGGGGGTAGTTTGGATGGCTCTGAAGTCCATCAGTGCGGCTCATGGGGTTGTTATGGTCCTCTCTAGCTACATAGACTCTGCATGGTGCTTATATCTCCTCTGCTGTGTGCCAGACAGAGATACACCAAGCAGCAGGAAGTCATACCCAAGCCTCCTGTAACTTCACAGTCTGAGTCAAAGAGTTAATAGATTAGAAATGTCTTTTTATTGCCTCTTCCGCATCAGGGAGCGAGCTGTACGACATCCAGCTGTATCCCAAGAAAGCTATGGAGCTGCTAGTGGGAGAGAAGCTGGTCTTGAACTGCACAGTGTGGGCCGAGTTCAACTCCGGTGTCCGCTTCCAGTGGACTTACCCTGGCAAACAGGTACGAGCAAACAGAGCGGCTCCCCGTGCACTGAACCACTTCCCTCTGAGTTGTCCTCTCCTGCCCCTTCACTGTTCTTCTTGGCATTACTGGCAGGGCCAATGATCCTAACCATGCTGTGCCCTGGACGTCTCGGTGAGAGTGCTTTCCCATTTTTCTCTCCTGCAGCAGATGGTGGGCAGAGGGAAACCCCTTTTTCCTGGCAGAAAGCACCCTCCTTGCTGAGGTGTTATTGCTCTCCTGGGCAAACACTGGTTTCACTTCCACCAGTGCAAATCCAGAGCAAACATTGTTGGCTTAAAAGGAGCTTTTCTAGCCACACAGCCCTGGTTACCAAGAGCCTGCGAAGGGGTCCCTTCCCCGCTGTGTTTTCCCCCTGTTGTAGCCTCTGGCGCTTGTGAACGGTGAGACAGAGGAGTCCCTTGAGGGCATCATTCTGTTCACATTCCTATAGGGCTCCCAGCCTGGTTACTGGGCTGCAAGTCAGAGCAAAACATGCACTAAAACTCTGACCCCAACTTCAGGCGGTCAGTCACACAGAGCTTGTTGCCTTTCCATCCCTGAAGATGGCAGTCAGTGGTGGAGTCGCCTGTCAAGGGAGAGGCAAGCACTGGGCAGCAAGAAGCGCAGACATGAGGAACCCATCTGCGCAGCCCCATCCCGTTGATGTCTTTCATCCCCTTCTCTCTGTCATCTCCCGCAGACGCAGCGGGCAGTGATGGAGCCCGAGCGCCGGTCCCTGCAGACGCACACAGAGCTCTCCAGTATCCTGACCCTCCACAACGTCAGCCAGCAGGACCTGGGCAAGTACACGTGCACCGCCACCAACGGCGCCCAGATGCTGGAGGAGAGCACCGACGTCATTGTGCACGGTACGGCATCTTCTGCTCCCTTGCAGAGCCACAGCCGGAGCTGAGCAATCCCCAGAGGAAGTGTTTGGCCCAAAGCTCAGTAGAGGGGCTCCTGCAGCTCCATCCCACTCTGCTTTAGTGAGACCCAGCCTTCTTCCAGTCCCTCAGCCCTTCTGCACCCCAGCACCACACTGGGAGCACGATAACACTCATCAAGGTGCCAAGATGACAATAGAGAGAGATGCAAACACCAAATTGGCCCAAATGCCGGTGGGATGGCAGCACACACAGGTCTTGTGGCCCTGCAGCAGATGCAGTGTCCCTGCGGCACGGCTGGCCTGGGAGGCACCCAGCTGCGGGTGCACAAGGTGCTGACTGCGCTGGGCGGCTGTCTCCCGGCAGCAAAAAGTCACGGGGCAGCACAGCCTCCCTGCATCCCCAATGGCTCCCAACGGCGAGGCAGAGGCAGCTCGACAGCTGCCAGAGTCGCAGTGCTGTGCTGGCCTGCCCAGCCCTGCCTGGCATCCACTCCCTCCCTCCCCTTCTGCTCCAGGGAGGGAGCCCTCCTGGGAACAGGGATGTGGAAGAGGGGCTGGGGGTCACATGGGCAGGTGGGGCAATAGTGGATTTTGGTTATTTTGACTTCATTGTTGCAGAGAAGCAGTCATTTCCAACTGCTGCTACAACACCCCGCTGTCCCTGGTCCTTGCTGTTGGGCCCTGTGGAGAGGAGCAGAGCTTGGTGACAGCCTGACCTTTTGTGCTCTCGTCTCCTCCATGCTCACCTTTTTTCTTGCAGAAAAGCCCTTCATCAACGTGGAGTGGAGGAAGGGCCCGGTAATAGAAGCCACCACAGGAGACGAAGCCGTGAAGCTGCCAGTGAAAGTCGTGGCTTACCCCCCGCCAGACTTCCAGTGGTAACGCACCTTTCTTAGCCTGAGCGACCCTCTCCTCTCCTCCTTCCCTCTGCTAAGGAGGGAAGCCTAGCCTGGCTTCCTTCCTAGGTCCCTCTGTGGCCAAGACTGTCCCAAATGTCCCAAGTATCCCAAGTGTCCCAAATGTCACTTTCTCCTACCCATGGGGGTCATTTCTCCCACCTGCCCCGGCTGTCAGCTGCACAGCTTGGGATGGGAGGAGATGAGGTCTGGGGGAGAAGCAGCAAAGGTCCTGGCCTGACTTGGCAGCTCTGTGCTGTCTGGAGGGGCCGAGTGGAGTTCCCACAGGAGCTGCCCCCCTCATCCCCCTGCAGCGGGGGTCACAGCTGCCCAGAGGAGCAAGAGAGTGGGCCAGGTTGTGCACCGCATCGTGCTGCTCTTCCGCCAGAGCTGGCTCAGGGCTGGGAGCTTTGCACCTGCACACTGCTCAGGGCAGAGCTACGACATTCCTAACCCCACACACATCCATACGAGACAATGCGCAGACCCTTAACTCGGGTCCAGGGAAAGCCCAGGGGTCTCCCCAGAGAGGTCCCCAGTGCTAGCAAGGGGCACCCTGACTGCGCTCTAGTGGGGACCAGCAAACCCTGCCCCGCTGCCAGTGGGACACTTCCTCCCCATGGCTGCATTTTCTCTCTGCCTCCCCGCAGGTACAAGGACGGGAAGCTAATTCCCAAGCAATCTCAATCTTCAATGCAGATCAAGGATGTGTCGGAGCAGCACGCTGGGACATACACGCTGGTTCTGCGGAACAGGCTGGCAGGTCTGGAGAAGCGCATCAGCCTCCAGTTAATCGTCAATGGTAAGGGAGGGGGCCAGGGCTGGGGCTGGGGGGAAAGCGCTGAGCCCATGGCCCCAGCCTTTGGGCTGCTCTGAGACCAAGTCCCCATTGCTGTCCTAAAGCATTTGGTACCTACATCATCACCTTCTCCCCCATGGCTGAGGGATGCCCTGGTTACAGTGAGGCTGGTTCCTTGTGGCCTGGACGATACGGCACAGTTTTGTTCCTGGCTCCATCACTCTGGGCAGAATATCTCCTTGCTCAGGGGCCGTTTCCCAACTGCAGTTGGAGATGCTGCTGAGGGTGACCCTAACTGATGCGGACTTGAGGACATGGCAGCTGCAACACACATGAAGCCTGGAGCTGGAGCAGTTCCTCTGGGTGGGAAGCTCCTAGGGAGTTTTCCCCCAGCAGAAGCTGGTCCCTGTCGTGCAGGAACCAGATGCCAGCACAAAAAGTGCTGGAAGGGCACTGCTGCTTGGAGATTTGTCTCCAGCAGGCTCTGTAGCCCTGTGCTGGGGGCTGCCAGACAGTGCTTTGAGCCTTGCAGCATCCAGACAGTCACACTCTGCAGAGGAAGGAGAAATGACGTCACTTGAATCTGCCTAAGTATAACCTGCTCTGCCTTGCAGGCCTGAGCTCCCCAGGAGCTGCCCTTAGTGCTTTATTGCCCAGTCGCTCTATAGATGGGCCTGGGGAGGGCTCTGGGGATGCAGCAGCTGAGCCTGCGGCTGCTCATGGTGTCACTCTGATCCTTGCAGTTCCTCCGCACATCCACGAGAAGGAAGCCTCTTCCCCGAGCATCTACTCCCGGAGGAGCCCCCAGGCCCTCACCTGCACAGTCTATGGCATTCCGGCGCCGGAGGTGATCCAGTGGCAGTGGAGGCCGTGGATGCCCTGTCGGATGTTCTCCCGACGCAGCCTGTAAGTGCCATTTCTTCCAGGACCCGTGTCTTACCAGGCCACCGGAATGGCATTATGGGCTCCTTGGGCACTGTGGCTGCGTCCCAGACCCCGTCTCACTTTTGCTCTCCCAGCCACAGCATGGCAAGAGGAGGACAGCAACGACTGATAGCTCGGAGCACCGTACAGCCACTCACCCTGTGGAGAGGCAGAGTGGAGCCCGCCGGAGACACCTGTGCTCTGTGCGGGAGTTTTGCCCAGCCTGGCTGGTCCCAGACACCAAGGGCTTCCACAGCTTCCCCTGTGTTCTCAGCCATCTGGCAGGGGATGTCCATGGCCCAGCCACATCTCACAGAACCTGCAATAAAACTGCTGACCACTGTGCTAATGGGGAAACTGATGCAGATTGCAGGAGAAATTGTCACAGCCCCTTGGTGAGACCCTGAGACAGCAGCTGCGGCTCACCCCATTCCAGCCCTAAGGTCCCTGTGTTTTTTTGATCCTCCATCTTCTGGGTAATGATGGAAACAAAAGTGCTCATAGGCAAGGAAGCAGAGCTGCTGCGTGTGGAGAAGAGTTGCTGAGTCTGGGGGAAGCGCCAGATCTCTGCCAGCTGCCAGGACGGTTTGCCAGGAGGGTGTTTGTGCAGGCAGCACCAATAGGTAGGCAGGAAGGGTGTGTGCCCACTGCCTGTGTCCTGGGAAGCTGGGGCAGCACCAGGCAGGGCTGCAGTGGCATTTTTTAGTGGCAGCCTCACAGGAAGAAGGAAGAGGGATGCTGGGGAGTTGTAGCCAGAGCAGTCAGGGCGGAGGACATCAGGGTGCCTGGAGGAAGCCAGGTCCCACAGCCCTGTGCAGGCTGTTGCCGAGCCAGGGACGCCAGAGAGCTTTCCATTGCATGCAAGTGCACTGTGGCCCTGTCAGGAAGCAGAGGGGCCCATAATTTATGAGGACTGTCTTCCAAGGCCACCGTATTTCTGCCTAGCATAGCTTCAGAGGATGCAGGAGGCTTCTTTCTAGCTTCCTGTTGTTTACACAGCTCGCCGGTGTGCTCACACCGCCAAGCGCTCTGCCCCGCACTGCCAGCACGCACCCTTGCCTCTGCTCTTGGGCGCTCAGCTCCCCCCTGCTTCCCTGTCACCATAAACCTTCTCCCCCCACATCTCCCACCCTGGATTTTGGGCAGACCCTCCCATCTCCCTGCCCCACCTGCATTTCAGAAGCACCATGCAGGCTGCAGCATCCAGGGTCCCTGACAGATTTGGGCACTTCTTCCCGCTCGCCTGTCTCAGTCCGAAGAGGTACCACCATGCCCCTGTGAGACACCAGCAGCATCTCTACTTGGGATGTTTCCCTCCTGGTATTTGTTGAATCAGGGGCAGCAGGAGCACCCTTGAATGCTGCACCCTTGGGTGCTGCACCGTCTGCTCTCCAGGCCAGCGCCCAGCCAGTCTGTGACATCCCTTACTCACAGTCCCAGCAGGGGTTTAAGGCCTTGTTGCTGAGCAAAGTGGCATCAAGAACTGCCCCAGGCACACATGAACCAATTTCACTGCTGCCTTTCTCCACCCTTAGCAGGGAAAGATGAAACCACAGGCCTGGGGGTGAAGACACTGCCTGGGACACTGGTATCTGTTCCCTGCCTCAATTTTCACATCTATAGATGTTTGCCTCACGATGATTGCGGAGCACCCTTATAAAGCACATTAGAAACTGTGTAACCGAAACACCCAGGAAATTTTGCAGAGTTAGAAGACAGGGACATCAATTCTTAGACACAAAGCTATTTTTGCTGCCTTTTTCCCAGCTGACCTCCTCTCCCACTTCTCTTCTCTTTCTCCTGCTCCTCCCCGGCTGCTGGATTAGCAATAGCAGGCACCGCGCAGCAAGGCGCCATCAGCGGGACCGGATGCCCGAGTGCAAGGACTGGAAAGATGTGTCGCAGCAGGATGCGGTGAACCCCATCGAGAGCATTGACACCTGGGTGGAGTTCGTGGAGGGGCGGAACAAGGTGAGGCTGTAGCCCCAAGCCCATCCCAGAGCAGGGAGCTGGAGACAGGCACCCTTGGAGGGGTCCTTTGCGATCAGCCAGCAAAAGTGGCCTGGAAACAAGCCTGGCAGAGACAGATTTGGGGAGGGCTTCACATTTCTGCTTCTAAAGTAAACCTTCAGCGGCCATTCCCAGCTCTAGCGCTCTGCAGTACCAGGCAGCCCCAGGGCGAGGGAGAACTGTCATCTCTGAGAAATTACCCTGCATCCAGAGAGGCTCCCGCTGGGGCTGACTGCGCAGGAGGGTTTACACTGTTGCTGTTGAACACAGGGCACCCAGCTAGGGAGGGCATGGGGGACGTGTGCTGTGGGGGCTCCCATGGCCATTTCTGAGCGTTCCTGCTTGAGCTGTTTTGGAAGACCAAACCCGCAGAGCAGCCTGGGCAGCTGGGAAGGGAGAGCAAGAGTCACAGACTGAGCAGGAAATCTTTGGCCTGGGGAACGTGCATGTGTGCGGTGGGGTATTTCATCCAGCTGTCCCCATCCTGGTGGGGTGAGGGTGGTGTGGAGATGCTGGCGTCCATCCGCTGCAGGTTAGTGAGTGAGAGCATGTGCGCCCCACAGAGCCTGCTTCTCCATCACAGTGTTTCCTCTCTGGAAGGAACATCTCTCCCTCGTTGCAGCGTGTGACCTGCAAACAGCCAGACACTGCTTGCTGCCTGTTTCTTTCTGTCTCTCTGGCCGCGAGTGTCGGGTCTGCGCCGTGACGGGGTTCCTGTTCCTGCTGGTGTCGGGCACCAGCCGCTCGCAGAGGGATGCAGAACAAACAAACGGGCCCCCGTTTCCGAAAGTCACTTCCTGTTTTCCTACACACCTCCAAAGGCACTTCCCGTCCCCTGGCCTGGCCGGGAGTTCATCACTCTGGCAAAAGGGTGGCAGGGGCAGAAGCTGCTCCTCCCAAAGCAGCCGAAGGGAGAGGCAAGGATTGGTGTCCCCCAGGGAGGTGAGCAGGGGTGGTGGGAGCTCCTGGGTGAGAAGCCCTTTGTCTCCCTCCAGATGTGACTCTCGTCTTGGTCCCTTTTGATCTTTCCCTTTTTCCCCTCATTCTCTTCCTCCTATTCCTCAGCTGTGTCCTTCTCATTCCATCTCTTTGGTTGTAACTGTCCTGGAGGTCCAGCTTAGGTTGTGCAGTCCAGGGACGTGCAAGAGCTCTAGGAGAAGACAGCTGGTCTTCCACTTGCAGTGGGATGCTATGTCCACAAATCCGCTTTCTCTCCCTCTCCTTCTCCTTTCTGCCTGTCTTCTTTTACCATCTTCCTCTGGTTTTTATTCTGTCTGGAAAGGCCAGAATGAGCCACAGGGTGTGCAGTGCGCTGCAGACAGCAGGATGATGTCAAATCCAGAAATCCCAACTCAAGCATAACAGTGCAGATTAGAAGGAAAATCCCCAAGAAACAGGAAAGGCAGCACACAAAGGTGCCAGTGATAGGGTCACTTCAGCTGTATTGAATAACCCCAAGAAACGGAAAAGGCAACGCACAGAAGTACTAGAAATAAGGTCACTTCAGCTGTATTGAATATGCGCTGAATGAATAACTGTTCCTTCTGATTAACACAAGCTAATACATTGCCACTTAGAACGGAAATGCTTCCCAAAGTCTGTTGGCTGAATAGTAAAGGCAAAGTAGTTTCTCTGTAGGAACACACTTTTTTTGCATTTTAAACATTGCCTCATTAGAGGGATTTTTGCATGTCGTTACCTTGTCGTTTAAACTGGGAGAGAGGAGAAACCTGTGCTTCAAACTGCAGATCTCCTCTAAGGGGTGTGCTTGTAACACATTTGGCAGCTCACACGTGTGCAGTGTGAGCTGGGAGGAGAGCAGCCTTACTCCCCAGCTGCCTTTCCTGGCTTATTTGGAGGCAGCATCTCCTGGGTCTGTGCTCCCAGGATGGCAGCCTGGCTGTTTGCCCAATCATAGTCACGTCTTGCTGGAAGGAGGGAGGAGGAAGCTTTTAGGACCATGTCTTGGAATTTAAAGGGAGAAGATGACAGATCTTCCTGAACTGGTGAGAGCTGGGATGCTTTCACAGGTTTGATTTCCCCTTATGGATAAAAGGAGTGCTTCCAGGTTTGTAAGTACCTGTAAACTCCACTGAACTCTGTGGGACACTAAGCAGTCACTTCACTGCAGAGGGCTTAGGGAATCAAAGCTTTGGTGTCCTTTCCCTTTCTCCCCACTGTTACAAAGCTTGGCAGGAGCTTAGCCATCCCCTCAGCGTGTTCATGTCCCCCTTGCTGGGCCCAGGCCTGTCCCCGTGGTGACCCAAGGGGCTTAACAAGAAGTTTGCTCCCATGGAGAGGCATCTATGCTGGCTGGGCCCCGTAAAAAGGAGCAGAGAGTGGGAATAAAACCACATTGCTGTTGCTAGAGCTAGCAGATGAGGCATGAAATACACAAAGGACTATTGAATAAGGGGCTATTTTTGAGTAACCCTTTCCCAGGTACGGCTGCAGCCTGGGGCCAGGCTTGCTGTGTGCTTTGCTGTCTGTCAGAGAGCAGCACCAATCCTATTTCTTCCTTGCACCAATCCCTCTTGCTCTACCTAACTCCTTCTTATGCTCTCTTCCCCCATCAGACAGTCAGCAAACTGGCCATCCAGGAGGCCAACGTCTCAGTCATGTACAAGTGTATCGCCTCTAATAAAGTGGGTCGAGACGAGCGGCTGATCTACTTCTATGTGACCAGTGAGTACTGCGGACATCCCTTCCACCTCCATCAGCCAGCTCTCTGCTTGAAATAGGCAGGTCCCTAGACCTGCCGGGTCCTGTCATTCACAGTTAGCACCTTAAACAGTGACCGGGAAGCCAGCAGGAAAGCAGGGCTGCCCCAAAGCTCTGCTGAGTGGCAAAGGCCTGGAGCTCTGGCAGCAGGTAGTGCAGGCAGAGTTTGGCAGGCAGACCTGGGGATGAGCCGGCGCTGCCTGTGCCTGGGTCCTGGAGCAGCCCTGGCAGGTCCTGGAGCAGCCCTGGCAGGTCCTGGGCTGGGGACGTCCTGCTGGCTCAGGCGCAGGCAGCTGCCTGGGCTGGGGATGTGCCTGGTCCGAGAGCATCCTCTAGTGGCACTGCCCGACCGCTCCCAGGCAGGGTCCTGCTGGCCCGAGCCCCCCGGCAGGGTCCCCACGGGATTTTGGTGGGGGGAGGAAGCTGAGTCTGTAGAAACCAGAGCCCAGCAGTGTGGGCTGGAGTCGTGGCCCACATGAGGCTGCATAAGCTCCCTGCCAGCGGTACCCCATGCTGGCGGGAGTCTGTCCCTGTCCACTGGGGACAGGGAGCCCAGCAAGGGCACAGCAGAGGCTTATCTTCATGCCTCTCTGGACAGACCCCAGAAGCCTGGGCTCCTGGCCCTCACAGGGAGTACCTGTGCTGTCAGAGCCACCAGCTTTTGTGGAGGCAGATGAACATCTGCAATTGCTGCTCCAGTAATGCTCTGAGTGTGCAGTTGTCCAGCCTGGCTGTGTAAAAGCAGGCACATGTGCAATCCAGAATGCTGCAGCTGAGCTGAGAGCAGTAACAGCCTAATTCAGACCTCCCAGTCTTGTTTCACTTGTGGCACCATCTTAATTTGACCCTGGGACTTCAGCATATCCCTTAGCACTCGCCGGGCTTAAGCTGTTGGTTGCTGGCAGTTTGCATGTCACAGTTCTGCTCTAGATTGGTTTCCTTTACCCTGGCTGAGGATGAGGGGTTTCAGAGAGCTGAGCCCAAGGAGACAATTTCATTGTGTCTGGCAGCTCAGCCGTGAAAACTCATTCACATGTTCATTTCCTTCCTGAAAGCCATTCCAGACGGGTTCGAGATTGAGTCCCAGCCCTCAGAAGAGCCCATAGAAGGGCAGGACCTACAGCTGAGCTGCAATGCAGACAACTACACGTATGAGAACCTGCAGTGGTATCGGCTGAACCTCTCCAAGCTCCATGATGAGGAGGGCAACCCCCTCGTGTTGGACTGCAAGAACGTCCACCACTATGCCACCAAGATGCAGGGGGAGCTGCGCTTCCAGCCCGACTCCAACGATGCGACCTTGCTGCTCACCATCCCCAACATCTCCCTGGGCGAGGAGGGAGACTATGTGTGTGAGGTGCAGAACCGGAAGACCAGGGAGAAGCACTGCCACAAGAAATACATCTCTGTACAGGGTGAGGGTCCACAGGGTAGGCGGGAGTGACGGAGGAGAGCTGGTACTCTTGCTGCCATCAGCTTCCCAGTCCATCCCCAGGGGAAGCCACGCAAGCAAGCTAAACTCAAGGTGGCAAAGGCAGGGCACCTGGGTTCTCAAGACACCCTTCAGCAGGGGTCAGAGACCCAAAGGCCCTCAGGAACACAGATATTCTTTTGATCAATCAGTTTCTCTTTCCCCTCCTCCTCTTTGTGCTGCTCCTCCAGCCCTGGAGATCCCCCGCCTCAAGCAGAACCTGACAGACATTTGGGTGAATGTCAGCGACTCCATAGAGATGCGCTGTAAGGTGGACGGCAACCATGTTCCTGAAATCAGCTGGTACAAAGATGAGAAACTGGTGGAAGAAGTGTCAGGTACGGTGGGCTGGGGGTGAATCAAAGGCAGGACATCATGTCTGGCAGCTGGAGAGCTGAACACCGCTGGGTTACGGCAGTTGCCGTGCCCAGGCAAAGGCGCCCATTCTCTGAATTGGCTGAACTCTGGTTTAATCATATTCTATCCCAGTTTGATGCAGTCTCACCAGCCAAGTCTATGCCCTAGGGCCTGGCTCAGCACTGTCTGTGCATGTGCACATTCAGCTGGAGAGCAGAAAGAGAGTGATAAATCATTCATCTTGTTACTCCCAGCCCAGTGCCTGGTATCTTTGCTCATGCAGGGACCAACTCAGATCCCATGGAAGGAACATGGGAAGGATCCAGGCACATTGCAGAGGGAAAGGAACAGGTCCTGGAGCTGAAGCAGAGCTTGACACACCAGCTGGACTGCCTGGGCACCATCCCCATCCAGCATTGCCTGCGGGGGTTTCATCCCATCCATACACTGCCTGGGGAGGGCCCCTCCAGGGTATTTCTGGGGCCATCAGGCCACAGAAGAGAGCCTCTACCAGCTGGTGCAATTTCATTCTGCCATCTAAAATGAACTAGACAAAAAATAGGAGCCTTATTTTGAGCCTGAATGAGTCCAGTGTACTAATCCCCCCCCTCCCTGTGAGTGACCACCGCAACCCTCTGTGCCTTACAGGGATTGACCTGGCGGACTTCAACCAGAGGCTGAGCATTCAGAGGGTGAGGGAAGAGGATGCTGGGCTCTACCTGTGCAGCGTCTGCAATGCTAAGGGCTGTGTGAACTCCTCGGCCAGTGTCTCCGTGGAAGGTACCAGCAGCCATAGCAGCCCGGGGGATGAAGTGGGGGAGTAGGAGTGTGGCCAAGGTCCCATGCCTCTTCCCTGTGACACCAGGCAGTGGGAGGCAGCGAAAGCCCCTAGGCCTTGCTGGTGGCACGGTGCTCTCACAAGAGGATCTGTAGTCCAGAGCATGTTTATCTCAGGCAAACACAACTCCCCAGTCTCCCCACATCCTGAAGTAGGCCACAAGGTACGGCTGAGCTGGGGCATGGAATGGGAATCTCCGAAGTTACAATTTCCCTCCCGTCCCACAGGCTCTGATGACAGGACCAATGTGGAAATTGTCATCCTGATAGGGACTGGGGTTATCGCTGTTTTCTTCTGGATCCTCCTCATCCTCATCTTCTGTAACATCAAAAGGGTACGTGACTGTCTCTGTCCCAGGGCAGGGGAGGTGGCTTAGCGGGGCGTGGGGCAACACCATTGCTGTGATGTGGGGCTGTATGACAGCACCCGCTAAAAGGAGGTGATTGAGTGTTGCTTCAAGCGCTCTCACTGCCAAGGACAGGGTGCATAAGGGCTGTGGTAAAGGAGGTGACAGGGAATGGCCTTTGCCAGGGGGAAGCAGGTCAAGGCAGGCAAAGGAACAAAATCCCCTCTGGGAGTCAGCACCCAGTGCAGGGAGGGCATCTCCTCACCCTTTGTGTTGGCTGATTCCTGCAGCCTGCCCATGCAGACATCAAGACGGGCTACCTCTCCATCATCATGGACCCTGGCGAGGTGCCCTTGGAGGAGCAGTGCGAGTACCTGCCCTATGACTCCAGCAAGTGGGAGTTCCCACGAGACCGCCTGCGCCTAGGTGAGCTGGACTCCCTCCCTGCCACTGCGCACTGCAGCCAGGGCTTCCCACCAGCCCTTCAAACTCACCCTCCAGGTTTCTTACACACCTCTCTATATTTAATGCCTTCTCTCTGCCTCAGGCTTCCCATCTTCTTCCCCAGACTGTCCCTAAAGCCCTGCTGTGCCTGGGAAATCTCTTTGGGTCTGACTATGGACAGGTCTGAACCAACTGTAAGCCCAGATTCTCCCAGTGTACCCACACAGGCATCACTGAGACCAGAAGACCTCTGGGCATGCTTTAAAACACATCCCCATATTGTCCAAGTGGCAATCTGACAGAACAGCCCAGTCCATGGCAGGTACCCTGAGTTCAGGGCCAGGATTGCATCCATTTATCCTCCTCATGCTGAGAGACCCACATGCAGTCTCTTCCCTTTGTCTGGGAGGGTTAAAAGGGCTGCAGACTATCTTTGAGGCACAGAGCAGTGACATTAGCCCTGGCTGCTCTGCTGCAAGGTGTCATGTTTACCTTTCCCACACGCTCTGCTCGAGGGCAACAAACAGCCCCTCACTTCTACAGGGCCATTTCCTTCCTCTGCTTTGTCCATGCCAGCTCTGTCTCAGTTCCTCCCATCATCCTTTCTCTTATTCTCACCGACAGAGCAAGCAGCCACCTGGGAAGGGCACACGTTCCACTCCTTCCTTTTCCTTTCTGATGTTTTTTCTTTCTTCTTCCCATGGTTTCCTGTTGGGATTTTTGTTTTTTCATTCCATTCTGGCTGTGCTGCACCTGCCTTCCTTCACACTGCCTCTCTCCTTGCCTATAGGTAAAGTCCTGGGTCACGGTGCCTTTGGGAAGGTGGTGGAAGCATCAGCGTTTGGGATCAATAAAAGTAACAGCTGTGAGACCGTAGCAGTCAAAATGCTGAAAGGTATGTGGACAGCGAAGCAGAATATGCAGTCTGTGTGGACAGCAAAGAATGAGGCATCTGCCAGGGAATGTCCACCCTGTAAAAGCCTGTCTTTTGCATAAGGCATTTGTAAAGGCCCTGGAAAATGTTTTATTTCCCACAAGCACTCCTGGGTGCTTCTGCTTGAGCTAGCCCTGAACTACGGGAGAGGAGCTGGAGCCAGCCTTTTAATTTATGGCTTCTTGGCCTCAACACAGTTGATCCTCTTGGCCTCCCTTCGTGGATACTTTAGCCCCATTCAGCTGCACTGGGAGGCAAGTGGCAGAGCAGACAGCAGAAACTGGGAGAACTTGGCTTTCAAGCAAGTTTAGCTGTCTGCAAAGGCAAAGACTGAAATCTGTCTTAAAGGACAAACAAGAATCCAGAACCCCTCTTTGGCAGGTCACTAAAGGAAGTGTTGCTCCCAATTGCCCTATTCCAAATGTGCCTGTATTTCGTGTTTATGAGCCAGGTTCAGAGCTGGGTAAGGAAGCAGGTTGCATCTCTTACCCAGCTCTGAGGTCTAAATTGGCTTTGCACCCAAAGCCCGGTCAATCCAGAGTGAGATTTTAAGCTTTTATAACCATGCTTTCAAACAGGCATCCAGAACATTATTCTAATTACATTATTATTACACATTATTCTAATGTGTAATTTGGCACCCAACAAAATACCGAGGCAGTCTCTGGCCAGCAGTGGCCTGTATGTGGAAACCAAACCGTGGCTCATCTCAGCGGCACTTACCACTGCAAGTGTACAGATGATCTGCACAGCAATTGCAGAGGGCAGCCTGGCCATGCAAGGTTGCTTTACAGTCCTTTGAGGCATGGCTCTCACCTGGCCCATCAGCTGCAGTTCAGGAGGATGCTTCTCTCTCTCAGACTAAATTTACAAACTCCCAAGTAAGGCAAAATGCATATGGAGAAGCAGAGAAGTATGAAAAAGGTACAAAAAACCAGAGAGCAAACCCTGAGAGTAAAACAGAGGATCAAGAGTTGGTGCGAATTAGGCACTCAGAGAGAAAATGCAGTACAGAGAGCTGGGAGGGGCACAGCGCTGTATTTGCTATTGGAGAGGAACCATAAAAAGATATTCTGGGTTTGAACTGAGACAGCTCCTATCTTCAGTCATGATCAAAAGACTCAGATGCCTTTTGTTTCTAATTTTCCTTCAAATTGTTTTATGGCTCGTTATCTCTGTTTGGAGGCCAAAAGGGCAGAGATTCAAACGTGTATGTAAGCCTCAAGTGATCTTTTTCCCTGCACAACTATCATAAGAAAAAATCTGTTGGGCACAGGTTGTGTTGTCCTTTGCTCTGGGTCCCTGCATCTGCAGGGAGCACCCCAACGCGTTACAGCAGGGATCCTGGGAGCTCCAGACAAGGCTCTGACATTTCATATGGAATTATGCAATAACAAAATATACCAAGGCTTTGAGGTCACAGCCTCCTCAGAAAGACTCACATTAACAGTCTGCTAAGAGAAGGGTGGCGAGGGGGAGTGAAAAGTTGTGAGGAAGTGTCATGACATGGTTTGTGTGTTTCCAGAGGGAGCTACCGCAAGCGAGCACAAGGCACTGATGTCAGAGCTGAAGATCCTCATTCACATCGGGAATCACCTCAATGTGGTGAATTTGCTGGGTGCCTGTACCAAACCCAATGGTAAATATCCCAGGGCAATAGGCTGTGCCTGCTCCCAGAGATCAGTGCTTGTCCATGTGTGTGACCACATGTGAGGATGTTATCGGTGTGTCTGTGTGCACTTAGGGCAGGTGCCACAGCTCAACAGAGCAGCACATAACATGACTTGAGGCAAATTCTGACCATCCCAAGCCCTTACCTCTTCCCCTGACCTTTGGTGTCTTCTCGCCAGGTCCACTCATGGTTATTGTTGAGTTCTGCAAGTATGGAAACCTCTCCAACTACCTGCGGACCAAGCGGGAAGGATTCAGTCCTTACAGGGTGAGTAGCTTTCTTTGCCCCTAGGGACCTGTCCTATGTCTAGGGAAGGAAGATGTGTAGCCTGAAACATGATCTGACAATGGGACAAAGACACCGTCTGTCTAGCAGCAGATCAACTTTACACAGTGGTCTTGGTTCATGTGCACATCAGGGAAGTAATTTCTTTCTGCAATGGAAGATAGGTGCTTCCAGGCCAGAATTACAGTCTAAGAACAGGAAAAGACAGTGCAGCTCGTGGGTGCAGGGGTTATGGTGTCTGTTGCCTGCTGAGGTTTTTGTTTTGGTCTCCTTGCCAGGAGAAGTCTCCCAGGCTGCGTATTCAGGTCCAGTCCATCGTGGAGGCAGTAAGAGCAGACAGGAGGAGTCGTTCTGGGACTAGTGACAGCGCTATCTTCAACCGCTTTCTGATGCACAAGAGCCAGACAGCGCAGCCGATCCAGGAAGGTAATACTCCAGCCTTGGCAGCGGCTCCTCACCTGGCCCACCAAAAAAATGCCAGGCTTGGCTAGCTTGGGGAATGGGTAGGGCATGACACTGGGGAGCTGGGAACCAGCCTTGGAGCTGATCACTCCACTGTTGCATGGCAATTCCCTGAACAGGGCTATTACAGTCATCTGTTGTCTCTTGTAATAGACTCTCGAAACCCAGAAGGGAGGATTAAATCCCTTTGGATTTTTTTAGCCTAAAGAAAGGAGAATTGAGGGGGATCTCAGTGGGTGCTCCCTAGGACAGGAATGGTGAGCTGACCTTCAAAGTCCCTTCCAGCCCTGTTTCCCACAACTCTTTCTGACTGACGTGTGCTGGAGGCTGGACTCATTCTCCTCACACTTGAGCAGGTTCCTGCCGTGTGCTTTCTGCCACCTAAGCAGAAAATCCTAGAGGGGAGCTGGTTATTCCAGTTAGCACTGAAGACTAGCTGTACCTCACTAAGAGGCTGGTTGTATCCCACAGTCCTGGAGACAGGCAAGGAGGACAAGAGACCGCTCACTGTCTAATATTTGTCTTGTACTCCTGGACAGTGGATGACTTGTGGCAAAGTCCCTTGACAATGGAAGACCTGATCTGCTACAGCTTCCAGGTAGCACGTGGCATGGAGTTCCTGGCATCCCGAAAGGTGAGTTCCCCCTTTCCTTCGCTCCCCTCTTCTTCTGTGCATGCCTGACCAGAGAAGGCCTGCCTACAGCCACTTTACAGGTGACTCACAGAGAGATTCAGTGATCTGCCTCACACTTCTCAGGAAGTCTGAGGTAGCCCTGTGTACACAAAGATGGGAAATCAGTCCTCTGGCATTTCATCCTTCTCTCAACCATCTTCTTCTGAAATTTTCATCTTTAGCTCCTTCCCACTTCCACCATTCCCCCATTACAGCTCAGGTTCATGAGGGGAGGGGTGTGCTCTGCATTTTCTGATGGTGGTTCCTGTCCCTCTGATTTTGCCCCTTCCTCTTCGTGTGCCCTCAGTGCATCCACAGAGACCTGGCGGCTCGCAATATTCTGCTGTCAGAGAACAACGTGGTAAAGATCTGTGACTTCGGCCTGGCCCGGGACATCTACAAGGACCCCGACTATGTCAGGAAAGGCAGTGTGAGTGCCATCTTCTCAAACTCTATACAGATTAGGCCCCTTTGAGGTGTTCATAAAGTACTCCGGGGGTGGAATAAACTGAGGAAAACATAAAAAAGGAGGAGTGGAACCACTTGTGTAGCTGGGACCAGGAACCATTGGCCCTGTGATGTATGTGTTCTCCTCCTCCTCCACTAGCAGACCTCTGTCTCCTTCCTTCTGCCCCTCAGCCTGTCATTAACTTACTCTTCTTTCTTTATACTCTTTCCTCCCCCTTTCAGTGTGTCCGTCCCTCCCTCTTGCCTAACTAAACCTCCATTCCTCCATGGAGAGAGGAGCAGGGCTATCGGCTCTGGTTTACTTTCATCCTGTTGCTACAAGAAGGGCTGTCCTGGGACATGTCCCTGACTGAACGCTTTGTGCCTTGCCTCCTCCTCCTTCAGGCCCGTCTCCCACTGAAGTGGATGGCTCCAGAGAGCATCTTCGACAAGGTCTACACTACCCAGAGTGATGTCTGGTCCTTTGGGGTCCTCCTCTGGGAAATCTTCTCTCTAGGTGAGTGCTAATGAGGGTCACATGCTGCTGAGGGACACCTCTCTTCCCACGTAGCAGCTCAGTGGGTAAGTCTGTGCAGGAGGCTCTGACACTCTGAAGCATGTTTAAGGAGTGATGGGAAGAGACATCAGTGTAGGCAAAAAAAATATGGAGGCTATATCCACCCACGAACAGGGTGGTGGGGAGACAGGCATGCAGAGGTGGCCTCCAGCTCACTGAGGCAGATGGGCCTGTCTCAGGCAGCACCAAGGACTTGGGCTGTGTATGAGAAGTGACCACATCTCCCAGTGTTTTGGGAGGAAGGTCAGTCTCAGAAGGACTGGTTTCTGATGGCACATTTCACGTTCCCACCCCTCTTCGAACCTCCTTTAGGGGCATCTCCATACCCTGGAGTCCAGATCAACGAGGAGTTCTGCCAGAGGCTCAAAGACGGTACCAGGATGAGAGCCCCAGAGTATGCCACAGCAGAAATGTGAGTCAGAAACCCTACGGATCCCAGCATTGGTCGGAGCAGAGCCCTCTGTGGGATGGTAGAAACCTCCCAGATCCCAGCACAGGGCAGGACAGGCCCCTCTGTGGGATGCAAAGACGTTTCAGCCGGGGTGGGGGATGAGCCAACACATCCTTCACTCCAGGCAGCTGCCTGGAGGGCAAGCCAGATGGGTTCGAATCAGAGCTATCTAGGTACCCTCACATACCCACACTGAGATGGGTCTGTGTGGGCAATGTGCTTTCCTGCTCTGAAGGGTATCAGAGGTATCTGAATTAGCTCCTTGTGCACTGTTATATTTAGTGCATAAGGAACCAACCCCCTTCCAGTAGGGGTTGGCCAATGTGCTGGGGGGTGCCGAGCTTTCCTTCACAGTGCACCAGTCAGGTACATGCAGTCCCAGTGGGTACCACATGGGTGGGAGCTGCAGAGGGGGGTAGGAGGGGGTTTCTATGGCATAAAACCAGCATCTCTTCTTGGCAGTTACCGTATAATGCTGAGCTGCTGGCACGGGGATCCCAAGGAGAGACCAACTTTCTCCGACCTGGTGGAGATACTGGGGAACCTTCTTCAGGAAAACGTCCAGCAGGTGAAAACCTCTCTGTGTCCCTGCTCAGTTCCAGACAGCTCTTTCTTCTCCCACCGCTAGCTCCCTTGCTGTGCATAGGCCAAGGGATAACATAGGGATTCCTAGATCAGAGAGGTCTCTTTCCCAGAGCGACTGTAGAGCTCATTTCTGCGGTAGCCCTCCTGCTGGATCCTAATCTAGTTCCACTCCTTGTAGGGCGGGTACCCTCTCAGTTGTCATTCCAGTATTTCCATCCTAATGCCCAGATGATTATTTGAAATTTTTCAGCTGAGTCAAGGCCCTGGCACTACTGCCTCCCACACGCCCGCATAATGAAAACCAGAACTTCACCAGTGTTTCTGAAACTCTATCCTCAGATCTAAATGTCAGTGCCATGTGAACCAAACAACTGTTCCATTACAGCAGTCAGATATACAAATTTCTCTGAAACTATTACTAGTCGCTGCCATGCAGTAACTTACTAGGACTTTTAACTGTGATGAGCGTGCAGCTCTGATTTTAACATTTTCTTGATGTTCCATTTCATAAGACAATAGCTAAATGCTTAAATATGAGTACTGGTCTCATCCTGACATCCCTGATTTTAATCTTTCAACACTGGGTCCCAGCACAGGCATGACTAAGCCACAATGATGTGCCCCTGGAGCACAGCGCTCTGTCCATGTAGGCTACAGAACTGTAGGTGCTGTAGGACTGGGTTGTTTTCCTGCTCACACCCACCTCCATGCACCTGCAACACCCGCAGCTACTTAACATAGAGGGCATAGAAATCTCCAGCCAGATATTTTGTCCCAGAGAAACAAAAGAAACCAGAAATATTTCTCTCCAGCTCTGGCAGTTTCTGCTTGTGGGAAAGCCCTCCCCTTCTTGTAAGGCCACTCATTGTTCTTCCTACCAGGAAGGGAAGGATTACATCCCACTGAACGACTCTCACAGCTCAGAAGATGATGGTTTCTCCCAGGTGCCTTCTTCTGCCCAGCAAAACTCAGATGAAGAGGACTTTGACATGAGGATACGCTGCCACAGCCTAGCAGCAAGGTGAATTCCCCTTGAAAAGGGCAGAGAGAGCCCAGCAGGCAGCCAGCAGCCTGAGCTGTAAGGGAGCCTGAGCGATATGGGGTGAACCCAGTAGCAAAAGGTTGGAAAAATCCCAGGTGATGAGGTGCCATCCAAGCATTTAGGCCATAGCATCTTGCTTATAAAAGCAAAATCACTTGCCGTTGCTGATGAGAAAGAGCCCTTGATGCGTAAGCCTATGGCATTCCTTCTCCTGCCTCCAGCTACGCTGCTGGAGCATCTTATCCCACTAAAGGCATCATGGCCCATCAGGTAGATGAGGAAAGAAGGTGTCAGCTGCCCTTCTGCTAGTGCAGGAGCTTCATCCTATCTGTTCCTAACTAACCCAAACAATTAGGCCTAGGCTTCTCGTCTCTCAGGAGCTGTGATAGTGTGATGCCTGGGATCTACATGACATTACTCTACTTATCCAGAGTGGAGAGGTAGTAAGGGCCTGATTCGATCAGGAAGTCTAGGTGCTCCCCACTGCACAAGAAGTATGGGGTTAAGAGGCCTAAGGTGACCCTATTCCCCTCCCAAAATCCACCATTTGGGTCATCTGCCTTGCTGCATACTTTGGTTGCATGGAGAGGAGGTTGGGTTCAGGTCCTGTTTGTTCAGGACATTGACTCTGTTGGTTTTACTAAATACAGTATGCTTCTGTCGGCAGATACTACAACTGTGTCTCGTTCCCTGGTTGTTTGACGGGAGGAAATCAGATCAGATGTCCATCCAGGATAAAGACATTTGAAGAGTTTCCCATGACACATACAATGTACAAGGCACACCCAGTGAGTAGCATCTCAGTGGGGTTGAGCAGGGGGCAAAGAAATGTTCAGCTGTTTCCTGACACCTTTGCTGTTAAGATCGTGGAAGGAAGATCACTCCTATCTAATGTCAGTCTGTCTGTGTCATTCCTGTTCAGTCCGTCCAGTCCTATGCACATTCATTTCTCCACCTGGCACATAGCGGTTTCTCTACAGCACAGCTCGTACTGCCTGAGTGTGGAATAGGGAGGTTAGATCTACAAGCAAGGATGATAAAGGACCTCAGAAAAGAGCCTGCTCTTCACCCTGCTCAAATCTGTAAACGTGGCCTGGTTAAGCATACTGAAAATCCAGCCAGGACTAGGTAAATCCAGAGTGCTTGTCTGCACCTCCCCTATCTTGACCTACACGGCAGTGTGCAGTAAGAGCCCTCCTGGCCTCTCTAAACTGGGCTGGTACTCACATCTTCTAGAGTGGCAAAACTTAAGTCATTCCCTTAGTCTCAGAGGAAAATCTCACCTCTCTCAGATTTGATGGTAATACATCTTCCAGGCAGGGAGCACTCATTTTTTCCCCAAAAGTAGCACTGAACTGCACACACAAATCCTAGCTTTGTACGTACTGCTTTTAAGAAGGCACCTAAGAAAATCGGTTCCAGCAAGACCATGGAGCATGCTGGTAAAGTGCTCCTACTCCTTTTTTCCCATCATAGATACTCATGATCTCATCTCCTGTATGATTCCTCCTCCCTTCCCACTCTGATCAGCCGACAGGGATGTTACTGATAACTCCTGTTGCTTCCTTCCAGGACAATCAAACAGACAGTGGGATGGTTCTGGCATCTGAGGAATTTGAGAGGATAGAAAACCGACACAGAAAAGAAGGTGGATTCAGGTACTCCTTAAGTCTAGCCACTCAGACCTTCCTGCTGCCAAATGCAGTAAGACCAGGAGGCAGCTCTTGGTGTCTCCCCGTAGGGTATGCCTCTTAGGGCTCTCAGCAGCAGCAGGGCTGTGGGCCCTGAGCCAGATAAGTCCATGCACACATTAACGAGAGGCAAAACGCACAAAGAACAGACCTGCCTGCTGCTTCCTAGGGTTTAAAATATAAACTGTGCCCATTCAACTGATCAAGACACGTTCCACAGGGTATGAGAATGTGTCTGTTAAGATAATGAGGCACAGTGGAGTGATGGTGTTAATAGGACTCTTAATGCTTATTGACATTTTCTGGTGAAATGCATCAGGGCTTCTTCAGGCAGTGGCAGGTGGGATGGATGGAAACTATGCGGCTGCCACCTCCTTCCCCTAGCCCTGACCCATGTGGCACAGGGCCCCGATGTGGCATTGCAGGGATGGTACAGGCCTTAGGACTTCCCACCTGCCAGTACTGAGCCTGGTAGGTTGAGCTGGCACTCTTGGGGCCGAGGATGTTATGGATGGTTATGTCCTTGCCCCAGGCTTGGAAACTGGGCGAGAACCTGCCCAGCGCAACTCTGCTTGGTGCCAGAGCAGGCTGGGACCTCGTCTCCATGACAGTGTGTTGAGCAAACCATGTCAGCTCATGTGTAGACAAGGCCAATCCCAAGCCTCTTCCTCACCTCCTCTGCCTCCCAACATCAGATCAGACTGGTCATTGTCTTTTCCCTTAACCATAGCCCTGTGGCCTCTCTGCTGTTTTATCAGACTGTCTCCTTCTTCTTGTCCTTGTCCTCTTTTCCCTAAGGCACGCTCCCATTGTCTCCTACACCATGGGCTACCTGGCGTCCCGTCTCCTGGAAAACATTGCCCTTAAACCTCTCCTTGAATGTGTCCCTGCCCTTGCTCTTGTGACTTCTTGCTAGTCACCTGGTATTGGCAGGCACTGAGATGGGGTTGCTATTTTCTCCCACATCTTCTTCATCATCTTCCTTCGTTTCCTTTCCCCCATTCTGGCTGTTGGTTTGTATCAGTTTCTGTTACTCCTGCCAGGTCTAGGAGCAATTGAGGCAATGTCTCTTGTCTCTCCCTGCTCATTGGGGTCCCAACCCTTCCCTGGGCTTCCCAAAGGTATCTAGAAGAGCTGAAATAACTCTGTCGCGAGTTATGTGCAGATTTTTCACAAAACATACTGGCTGTGCTTAGGTTTAGAGCAAGGCCTGGTGTTGTGTTTTGAAATGGAGGTGTAGGTCCATTCCTGACCCTGCCTCTGCCCTGTGCATTAGCAGATGATGTTTCCTAAAGTTGGGATTTCTCTAAGCAGGACAGAGGCTTTCCAGGAGTGCTCAGATTGATCTTCTGTGTCTCTCTCCCTCACAGCAGTAAAGGGTCCAGCCGAACTGCGGAACTGCCAGGAGAACAGTCGGACCTGCGGGGCAGATGTCGGCCGTCGTACGGGTCCCAAGTTGGAGGCCAGACTTTTTACAACAGTGAATACGGGGAGCTGTCAGAACACTCTGAGGACGGCAGCTGCACCCCACCTGGAGAGGGGGCCAGTCCCCCCACTCTCCACGCTTCCTTTTTCTCCGAGCAATACTAATGGCATCAGGCCCTGGAGGTGCCTGCTGAGGCATCCTCTCACACCCTGCAGCATGTCATCAGGGTCACTCAGAGCTTCTCCTTCAACCTATGCCCAACCCCAGCAGGGAACCTACCCCGAACGGATGGGGAACACCGACGTTCTTGGAACCGCAGCACGATGGCCCACGCAGCACCTCCAGCTGCAGCTTCCCTGTGCCAGGACTGGAGAGAGCACCTCGCTGATTCCTCACATTTCTTCCTGTGGCTCAGACAGATGCATTCTGCCAGCGAGTGGGTGCCTATGTTCAGCACTACAGCACCTTCTGCCTAGTATCCAGCCTCCACTCAGATCAGCTTCCCATTCAGAAAGCCCATTTCAGGTCAGATATAAATAGATCTGTCTTAGTCTCAAGTTTCTTCCTGGTGTGCAGCCTGAATGTTTTTCCTTGGATTGCTTCCTCCTCCTCTCCTCATGATGTCAGCTGCTGAGCTGCAGAGCAGAATCAGAGGGAAGAAATCCCTAGTGGTATTAGCAGCAAGAGCAGGACATTTTAAAGAGGTGTATGGAGAGATCCCGAGGGATCTTTGTAAATGTTCATGCACACTGTTCATTCTGGGTAGGTGCCAGCCTCTCCATCTTTTCTGCAAGCAACACCCACACGCCTCTCATCTCTGCTGGGGGGAAACCTGTCAATCTGCCTTATCACCGGGATTATTTTAGCCATCTCAACACAGCTAGTGCTGAGTAGGTCATCAGCTTATGGCTAGAGTCCTCCCAGTGAGATAAATGTCAACTCTTTTTGCAGGCCCTGTGCAAAACGGCATTTTATATACTCTGTACTGGGAGCAGGTTACTCAGAGGTCTGCTGTTCTCCCTTTCCCAGAGCAGTGCTGAGATCATTTGTTGCTCAAGTGAGAAATTAAAGCAAAGCTGTGTTAATTTCAGCTGGCTTCTAAACATAGAGCGAAAATGGGTTGTTTGCTGGGAGGAAAAGGATCAAAGTGGTAGGGAGTGAAATGTTTATTTTCAAGTTGCTGCAAGGGTTTTGGAAACAATGGAAGGAACAGAGCTCCAGCAATGAGGTGCCCAGGGCTGCATCCCCTTGTGTGTTGGCATCACTGAGCACATGGAGGGCAGCACCCGGCCAGGGCTCAAGCCCCAGTTCTCCTGGATGGACAGTACTGCTGCCCTAGTTCCCTGGCTCTAAGGCGGCACTCTCTGCCCAACGGGCTCCTCTCCAGTTTCTGTTGCAGAGCCACCAGCACAGTGTACCTGTCTCTGGGGGACTGAGAAATATTTATTTGCTGAGGAAACATCTCATCATTTGGGCCGTGAATTCAGAGCTCCAGTGAACCTCTGCAGCCCGTCTCTACAGATTTCTGTGCTGCTGCCTCACCACTTCCCACCTACTTCTTTCCACCCTGCTCACCATCCGAGAGCTCAGCCACAGAGCAAGGTTACATCACCGTCAGAGGAGTCTGGGTGAAGAGACTCGTCTGAACAGCTTGTTATCATCTCTTCTCCCACATGCCCATGGCTGGCAGAGCTCCTTGCACCAGGGCATCTCAGCACTGGGGAGTTTCTGCTTGCGGGCCACACCTCTGTGCACAGAGCCAAGGGTTTGGTTTGGACTTCTAAAATTGTGTTTCCTGTCAGATGTACTGCTTTCCCAAACTATTTCTTTTCCAGCAGAGGGTTTCATGCGTTTCCTGACGTGAGCCTGTGAGTCCTTACAGATGACTTTCCCAAGTCTTAATTATAGTTCTCCACAGAAGTGTAATGGGGAGATTTATTTAGCACATGGGAAAAGCATGCCTGTCATTCAGATTCTCTAAGCCTGTGCAGAGCGCCCAATGTTCCCCTCCCTTTTCGTGTCAGTAGGATGACATGGCTGTGATTTCCATGGCGAAAAGAGGCACAAAACCGGACCAGCTTGAGCCAAACTGGCTCAGGACGTGGAACTGGAAACTGCATGTGACAATGAATTCCCTGACTTCTACTGGTGTCCCCTGAAGTTGAAGTTGCCAGGAATTTAAGCATCTTTAAGTAATTGTTATGACTCAGTAAGAATCCTCTGGCAGGAGGTGCCGGAGAGCCAGGCCAAGGAAGTAGGACAGCCAACGGCGTGTAGGCCAGACCAAGTTCTCCTGCCCTCGTCTTGCCCTGGTTTTTGAACTGGTGGTTCCCTTGACAGAAGGAAAGCTGCATGTGCCCCATGCTGCTGGGGGTCTCCACCGGCATTCATGTGGGTGGAAGGTGACAGATGGCTGAGCTAAATTCAGGCTGATCGCTTGGTGATGTGCATCCATAGGACCCAGGCTCTCTTGTTTCCCGTGCTTCACAGGCAGTTCTTTGCCTGGAAACACAGCCCCAACTGAGAGAGGGCCCAAGAAAGAGGCCTATAAATTAAACAATTGTTGAAAAACAGAATTCCAAAGTAGCTGCAAGTCCTTGTCCATATGTGAGGGATAGAAACGTACCAGCAAAGCCCGACACTTGCAGGGCACTGGCAGGATTCCTCAGCAGAAAGGGGACCGAGGCATCTGAGCGCCTTGGTTGGCTGTCAGCACTCCCAACCAGCCAGGACAGCTGCACTTTGTCTCTAGGTTCAGCTGTAAATTGCTCACGAGCATCCTTGTGAAGAAGGGTTACTTCATCAGAGCCATTGTTAACGATTCCCTGCTTCACTCTGGGGAAAGCACTGGTGTGACATCTGATTTTTGAACATTCAAATTGTTCGACTCCACAGAAGTTTATTTTCTCTCTTTTGCACCATCTTGATGGGTGGGTGGAATCAGATCCTATTGTATGTGCGTCAACAGCATTGCGTGAACAATGCAGCCATGATACGAGCAAATGCTGGCTCCTCTTCAGACACTCCTGCTGATGAAGAACAATTGTAGTGTGGGATGTTGAAGAGCTGTTGAGACAATTGTACTTTCGCTCTCTTAAAAGTATACTAAAATTAGAGTGTACAAACCTGATACCCTTCCCCACACTCTTGCATTATTTCTGGCATTTTTTTTTACAGTCTCCAGATAAGCATGAGCATGAAATGAAGCTGGTCTGTTTTGGTTTTAAGATGTGAGGCAATGGTGTTGTCTGTCTTTCCACAGCAACAAGGGAGTATTTCAACTTTTAAAACCCTGGGTTCGATAATTGTGCCTGCTCCATTCATAATGCACTCTCTGTTGTGTTTTGTTTGGGCTCTTTACTGGAACTCAACATTGAAGCTAAGCTATTTATCATCCTCCTCCTTTAAAATGACTGTTCCCGGTCTATGTGCAGTCTCATTTTTCCTTACAAAGTGTTAGTGTTGAGAGGACATTCCTCCCTCATGAAAACAAAGCGTTGGGTCCCCTACTTGCAAATACACATGTGTCTCTGAAGAAAAACCTGTGTATCGAGTAACACTTCATTTATATTGCAATATTTTAACCTGGTACCTGTTGTTGCTACAGCAGCATTCAATGTTTCAGTGGGCTGCCTTCGAAGCAAGTAGGTTACAACATGGGTTATTATGTGCGAGTAAAAAAGTGTGGTCTGTGCGTGTGAGAGAGTGTTTTGTGGGCGAGTGTTTGGGTGTTTGCACGTGCGAAGTTTTCCTACTAGTGAGTGTATGTGAGTGTTTATAACTCACGTTGAGTCTTGTCTCTGGAAGTTCACGGTTATATATCAAACCAGTTAGAACACTGCTTTCTTTCCTCTCCTCCTATAGTACTTGTTATCCTTTGTCATTACGAGTTTTGTTGTAATATCTAAATGTGAAAATGAATAAAGTGGTAACTGGCAGCTGCTCCCTGGTTCCTGGAGGCCACTGCTGCCCGCGGGCGCTGCAGCACTCCGCTCCCGGCTCCCCACGCCGCACCGGGCAGCCCGACTCTGGCCCAAGCAATTAGCACATTTTGGTTTTATTATTTTTACTTTTGTGTCCCTTTGCATTTCCCCGCATCCTTTAGGAAACAGCTGGCCTTTGTGGCATTTCCATCCAGGATGAAACTTGGTCTTTTCTCATGATGAAGCCGGATACGCTTTGGTTAGGCTTGCAGCGCCCGGCCCTTCGCCCCGCCGCCATCTCCCCCAGATCCGCGACTCTTCCTCGCCGCCT